TAATAATTATTTAGATTTCTATTCAGAAAATTTAATTTTCTTCAACTGTTTCGTTCTTGATAGATCTATCATGTTAAATTTATTAATTTTGCTAAAGCCGTTTTCTTTAATCCTTTCTTTCGGCCAGTCTTCTTCTTGTATTTTTTTTCTAAGGTATTAATATTTACATGTAATTGCGATTTTTGGATACATTGCAGATTGTAAGCTTTTGACATTAAATACAAATATTTAATTTATTGCGTAAATTTCTTCCGTGAAATAACTTGGTACTTGTAGATAAATTTATTAGATAGAAAATTAAAATGTATATTTTTCATAAATAATAAATCTGTTTATAGGGTTTCAAAATTCACTCACTTGAGAAGAAGTTTAAAAAAAAAAATACAGTCTCCATTTTATAAAAATCCATTTAATCACTGTCAATTTTTTATATTTATAAATAAACAACTTTTGTAAAATTAATACATAGATCTCAGGTTCTTTTTATAATAAGTAAATGTACTTTATAGTTTAGATTTGAAGCTCTGCGAGTATTTAAATTAAAATATAATTTAATTTAAATAGTCTTTAATCTTTAAATTTAATTCAAAATAATCTTTTCGTCTTGTCAAAAAACGTTCCGCATTTTGAAACAATCCTATCAGGTTTTGCGTTTATCCTATCGTGTAGATCGTTTATCAGGTATATCGTGTTTTGCGTTTATCGTGTTTTGCGTGTATCGTGTTTTGCGTTTATCGTGTTTTGCGTTTATCCTATCGTGCGTGTATCCTGTCCTATCGTGCGTGTATCCTATTGTATCGTGCGTGTATCCTATCGTATCGTGCGTGTATCCTATCGTATCGTGTATCCTGTAAAGAATAACGATGCGGGTACTGTAAGAGAGTCACCGAAGCACTGGTTGCGAAAGCTGACACATTTATTCAATGGCCCGACGCAACAACAAAATCTTGCACCAAAACAGGGTTTTACCGGCTAGCAGGTTTCCCCAATGTTGTGGGATGCATCGATGGGACGCATGTACGGATCCAGGCCCCATCACAAGACGAAAATTCCTTCGTTAATGGGAAAGGATACCACAGCATCAAAGTCCAAGCTGTATGTGACCACGAAGGTAAATATAACCGACTTTGTAAGGCCCCTTGTATCATTTTTGTTCGATGGGGTTTTTAAACATGTACTAAAACTTCGTTTTTCCTGTGTATTGAATTAATAGGTTTTTCACATATCCTTTAACAATCCCTCTTCCATAATTATCGTACTATAGTTGTGTATTCATTGTTAATAACGATTTTTTAAAATGATCTATGCATGTCATGTAGATTAACCTCCCCTTTGAAAAAATAATGTGGCGGATCCATCTACTGAGTATTCATTTTACAGCAACTACCTGTTATAAAACATCAGTGCATTGCCACACAAGAGTAGTGCATGTACAAGAAAAATAAATTAATGTGGTAAATAAAAATTGAAAAAGAGATTGATCTGAAGATATAGGTGTGAATATGAAAAATAATTTTAAAAAAAATTGTCCAATATTTTTTATTTTTTTTTATGAATCTGATCTTGAATGATATACTCGTACATTATGAATTTTCCATATATATTTGCAATTGGTTATTGAATATACAACATTGAATCTATGACATTGCAAGTAATGTCCTCCACAGTTATATTGAAATTAAATAATGCACCACTTGCCCCCCCACCCCACCCCCTCATAGAAAGTGCATGAATTTTAAATCAGTTCAATAATGGTACAATTTAAGTAATAATCAATTACTAGTTCTTGGTTAACTATAACTGCTACTTAACTACATCTATTACAGGAAAAGTAACAAATATCAATGCATCATGGCCTGGGTCTGTTACATGATTCCCACATCTTCAGAACATCACAGGTAATTAAGCTAAAATATGATAATATTTAAATAATTTTTAAAGAGTGTTGATCGCATGCAACACATATTCAATCCCTCTCTGTCATCTTCTAACTTTCATTCTCTCATGTTAGGGCATTTTATACCCATTTCATGAAATTAAAATACATTTCATCTCAATTTATTTCTTTAAATCTATTATTCACAGCAAATGTATTGAGAGTCTATTATGAATAAGGATTTGTAAGTTGACTTGGAATTGCATTGTCAGATTAGAACATATTTGGAGGAGGAAGAAAATGGCCTATTTGAAAATGGAGTTTTGCTAGGAGATAGTGGATATGCTTGCAGATAAATAAATCACTTAACTTATTATATAAAAAATATGTTTACGGAGTTTTAAATTAATAGTGTTTGTGGCTCGGTATATTGTTGCATGACGTCAAACAACTGCTTAGCATGAATCATATGGAGAGAACATACAATATCCGAGCTCAAAGTTCATTTAACAATGCAAAGGCCTCCAAAACATCAGCAGTTTGGATCACATGCCATGGAGGTGTAAGCATCCCATACCGACCATTGAGCACTGCTGTGTGCTCCTTGTCATGATAAAAGAAAATTGAAAATTCGTTGACAGTATTTAATATCTTATATGTCTTATATCTTATCTGTGTCGATCATTAGTCATAAACTTATAAGAGAAAAATTAATGTAATTGCTACATTATTTGTTTTAAAGATTTGTTACTTATTGTATATTATTTACCGTGCGTACTAGGGGAATTGTGTTTAAGAAAGTAAAAAATTATGACACAATGACATTAACAACTCGTTCAAAGTTCGAGTATCGAAAATTTTATTGTCTAAACAATAACTTCATCCAAATCTTTCATGAGGTTGAAAGTGAGGTGACTTTTCTTCAGATTTATGTCTCAGACTTATAACAATGAACAGCTGATAAGTATAGCAGCTGTCAGGGATGGGGCCCTAACTAAGCTCCCTAAAAATTCATTGACTTAACAATAAGCCCTACAAAATCACGCAAGGTGCTTTACTATTTAGATAAAATGTTACACATAATCATTTTATTTCTAATACATATAGTAAATCAAATAATATATGTATATATAAATATGGAATCAGTTTTTGTGATAATGTGACAATGAAATGTACATATATAACTATGAAAAAAATCACTGTATTATTATCTTAATCTGTACTGGGGAAAACAGGTAACAGTTAATCGAATTCTGTGAGCACATCTAATGTTAATTTTAAATTTCTGTTGAAGTTACTCTTATCATTTCCTAAGAGTTGAAAGAGCGTTTTTATATGTGAGGTGACATGTTACAAATAATGTCCAGTTCTCACGGAGATTTTAATTTGCAGTAAATTAATGCAAACAAAACTAATGCAAATAAAAATTTAAAATAAATAAATTGCTTTCACGCGACAGCTTAACCGAAGTAAAATAATGCGAATTAAAATTTTATTACTACAAAAAGACTATTTCGTAAGACTATTATGACGTCATTTGTAACTCATGTCATGTACAACTCACATGTACATGTACAACAATGTACATGCAGAGCTATCCATTTGATATGATAATCATAATCATTGCTACAGGTATACATTTAGTGATTATCATCCTTTCTCTTGGCTTTTGAACCAAATATAGAACAGGTACCTGTATCTAAGCACTAATATGTGTACTGTGACTAAATTCTGAACTATTCCAAATTTAATTTGAATTTGCTTCCCTCAGCTTTCTCACGGAGCTAATGCAAAGTATTAATGTGCAGTAAATTAATTCATATAAAACTAATTCAAATTAAGTTCTCCATGTGAACGCTAAGCAAAGCTAATTCTCAGTAACTTTACGTTCAATTCGAATTAAACTCTCCGTGTGAACAGGGCATTAGAAAATCAGTTACACCTTGATATATGTGAATCTGTGGGGGGGGGGGGGGGGCTTGTCAGCTTGTATATCTGGCCTTCCACTGTGTCCCATAAAAAAACAAAACAGATAGATTAATATCAAAATGAAAGAAGTTAAGAAAAATGAGGACAATTTTAAGTAATAAATGGGACAAAAAACGGAAAAGATAGGGTACCATTATTTATCCCCCGATTTTGAGTGTCTTTCATTATGATGCTACAGTTTATCCATAAGAACCTGTTCTCAGCCCTGCCACAAAATGAGTATTGGTTCTATGATTAAGAATATACAAGGGCCACAGTGGTGTAAGGAAATAGGTCAATTTTCGAAATTTCTCATTTTTATGCAAACTTTCATCAATTTTACGGCACATTTTGTTTCGGAAAATATAGAGCACACGCTTGCCTATCTACCAAATTTATATATTTTATACACTAATATCAGATGCAATTTATGTGTGAAAATGTCAGATAGGCCAAGTTTGTGCTTTATGTTTTCCGAAGAGAAATTATCGCAAAATATGATGAAATTCCACCAGAATTGAGGAAATTCTGGAAAATGTCCTACTTTTGCACCCTCTAGTCATGCTAGTGGCTACCATGTAAACTTTGAATAAAAATTAGTGCTTCTTTTAACGCACCGGTAAGCATCATTTTAACTTCTTAACTACATGTACAAACTATCTCAATTTTACCTGATGTTCTATTGAGAACTCGAGAGTGAAAATTAAATACAATCAAAGATTTAGTAATTAAAGGAAACAATAAAATCTTGTATATTACATAACAAATCTTGTATATTACATAAAAACATAAAATGCACCTTTATTCTTTTATTTTTAAAAGTAAATGTCTTTACAAGGATTTGCATGGTTCTTTTTTTTTTCTTCCATACGATTTAAAATGTAAGTAGAGTGTTATACTGACTGTGGTACTGATACGTTTCGGACATATTAAAGCTAAAACCCAATCAGGGTATTACATGTATGTTCAATAAAAAGCTAAAAAAAATCGGCATGTTTAGGAGATACTTTAGCCAGCTGGCACCACGTGTTCGAGTCCAGCTGTGACTTAAAGGACTCTATCGTTGGTGTTGAGACAATGTGAATAGTATCAGGCAACCTTCTAAATGATGTTTTGCGTGCATGCACAGCATTGTGGTAACTTGCACATGTTTCATGCAATCTCTTCGCTTGGTTCATTTCTGTTTAGTTCTGAAAATAGAGAGCTGTGGATTATTTGAGAAATAATGGTTTGTTTTCATTTTACCCTTTTGAATATACAATCCATATTTGTTATTATTTTTAAAAAGGTCTATGTATATTAAAAACGGAAAGAAAAAGACTTTTAGAAAATATACTACAAAAGTATGTTTGAATAAAACTTACCGCTTTTTCTTCCCTGTTCTCTTCAAACGTTTTTTTTTACTTTCAAAGTGGCAATGCTATCAAATAAATTTTTCAGATTTATCAGAGAGATCTTGAATTTTTTAAAGCATAACATTAAGGGTAGCAAACTGTAACATTGGGGTAATTGTGGGGATGCGAAAGACACGATGGTAGTTTTGTCAAATGAATTATATGTCGTTCTTTATATTTTTCTCGGTTGATTAATCATCCATCCCGAATCTATCTTTTCTTAACAAACTACCTACCTGTTTACTGCTTTAAAAGTCAAGGGGTGCAATGCTTACTTGTGTCACTACTCTTGATCTGTTTCCTTCTTCTCCCCCTCTCATTCTTAAATGAATAGCCGCCCTCTTGGCGCAGTGGTTAGAGCGTCTGCTCATAAATCGCAACGAAAGGGTTCGATCATTACGTCGCAGGTTCGAATACAATTGTGGGACCGGTCTTTCAGATGAGACCCTATAAACCGAAGTTCCGTGTCGCAGTAGGTGTTGGTACAAAAAAGATCCCTCATTGTTCAAAAGTTCCGAGTGCTGAGTAAAGAACACAATTTGTAGCTCTCTACCGGCAACTGGTGGCGTCGAGAGAGACGTTAAACAATATACAATCAATCAATCAATCAATCTTAAATGATGTATATGTCTTGAATGAGACTTTATTGGTATACTCCTAGAACTATTTTAAGCCTGTTCATTATCCTTAGTATGATTTCTTAAATTTCTATTAATTTTTCTGACGATGAAAGTTAGATTTTTCCTAGATATAGTCTTATTAATATTTACCAAGATATAGTCTTTTCATCATAATATGATTATAAAAATTCTCATTTCATTGACGTCCTTCATAGACTACAACTTCATTATCTGTTAAAATTCAGCCTTGTAGTATAATGTTCTTTTTCAAAGACTTTTTAAAGAATATGCCCTATCCTTTTCAGATGAAGTTGATTTTAGTGGGCCAAAAAATGTAATTATGTAAATATTGTATTTACTTACACCCGATTGATTAGAAATTTACAGCATGACAAAAATAACAAAATGTAACAGTATTTCACAAGTACAAATATACATTGTTTTTATTTTAGAAATTCCAGATTTTATTCTGGATATCGTTGAGCTTCCTATTGGTCTGGATAGGAATATATGCAGCATCAGCCAGGTAAAATTCTTATTAAAGGTACTTGAACACTGGTTTGAAGTCAATATTTTCTCTATAATATTACGACTTATATATCTTAATAGCATTTCACAAAAAATGATTAAAATCTTGTTTCATTTAAAACTTCAAATTTTTTGGCGGGTTTGATTGACTTATACTTGCACTTTCACAAATTTTAACCTTATTCTTAATCCTTAGGAAAAGTGGCGATCTTCTTGTGTATTAATGAGAAATATTATATCTTTTATCCAGAAAAATAATTTTATTCATAGTAGAAATGTTAGAAAGCAAAACTCTTTCACAAATATTGTCATTCCGAACTCAGAGTTTCGTACAGTTTAGCAAACCGACCATACTCCTGTTATGTACACAGTTTTTGTAAACATGGCAAGTTCTGTTATTGTTTATGTTTATTATTCACCGGGTGCGTTCAGTCGTCACAGTCTGCTTACCACAACTGCACGGACTGAAAATATTTTGTGTGTTTGTTTTGCTTTCAAATATGTCTACTCCGAATTTTCTAGATTATGGTATAAATATTTTTCATGTATACAAAACGAGATTGCCACTTTTCCTAAGGATTAAGAATAAAATTAATTTGTAAAAGTGCAAGGATGTGTCAATCAAACCCGCCAAAAAATTTGAAATATTAATATCTTTTATATGGAATAAGATTTTTAATTAATTTTTGTGTGAAATGCTATTACAATATATAAGTCGTAATATTATAGAGAAAATAATCTGTGTCCAAGTACCTTTAAATAAAAATGAAAATATTTAAAATATGTATAATAAAGTAAAATAATAGATTAAACTTTTTCATAATGATTATTTTCTTTTTAGTAAATTACTAGCCGCATTTCCCAAAATAGTGCGACCAGGATCCCCTTTAATTGTGAACTGTCACCTGTTAAAACGTGGAAGCCAAAATTTGATATTAGAACTTGTAAAGGACGGAAGTACAATACGTCAAAATACGTCCACTGTCACTTTTGGTAATTTTTTGTGATTTGATAACTTTTATAAAATTAAATTATCTTTCTTGCAATTATTTTTTTTTAAAGAAATAAACAGCCAAATATTTCATGACTTCAAATACGTACTACATGTATATGATCGTTATCAAAAGTTCGAATTTACTTATCGCAAAAAAGAACATTTTATACACACAAAGACATACAATTTTTATTTGCATTTATAGGCCTAAATCTTTACTAATATTCATATAAACTAACTTAAGATTTATTTATATTTGAATTTTTGTAAAATATGATATCGCAAAATGGGTTCAAAATGCTGTGATAAAATATGAGCTTTTTAACCTTATATACATATACCTGTATTACTCGAAATAATTGAATGAAAAGAATGGCATATACACATGTATGATTTTGGGAATTATTTCAAATAAAGATATTTTGTGATATTTTTTTAAGGAGGTGGGGAGATTCATAATTATATGGTAAATGTTTTTGAAAGTCTCTTGCACTCGAATATTTTTTTATTTACATACTTTTTAACATAAATTTAAGGATTTGGTGTCTTACGTATTTAAATATTATAATAACACCATACTTCTTTATGTTAAATTTTTGACAAGCACTAGTACATGTATTTACTCAGAAATAGGTTGTATAAGAAATTATCCTGCAAAGACATGTCTTTTTTTAGGTGTTTATAAATTACTTTATGAGTTTTTTCAGGTTTTTATAAAAGTTTTAAAAATAAGTTAAACAGATATTACAAAGCACGGGCCTACGTGCATATACCTTAAAAGATACAAATTATTAATAAAATTGTACCTATATATGCATAAACAAAATATAATGAATAATGTATTTGTTAATTATTGAAAGAACAACAAGATTTTAAGGAAACAATTTAAACTTGATATACATTTATTGAAGAGGAACAGAATACAAAAATTGTTTTGTCGATAAAAAAACCTTTATCAGCTACAGTTTACACTGTATAATCAGTTGGGTTTCCCAATGTTCAAACAATCTCAAAACAGTTTGTCAGAATGATTTACAAATCCCGACGCATCTTCATAAGTACACGTATCACAGCTACACCATAGGTACACTGTAAAAACCCAATGTAAATCCTTAAGAATTTTTGCAGACCTTTCTGCTATGAATCCTTAACCTTTAACCCAACAAACATTCCTCTCTCAGTGAAGAGTCTTTCTGAATTTTTAAGATTTTTTTTGTAGGAAAGCAGCATAATATCATGCTAAACGTAAGTAAATTATTGCATGTCGCACCAATATGCATATTTTATACATGTATACTATGTTAAATTGCCGTATGTGTACAGTCGTTTGGCCAGTTCCGAATAAGAAACCGATTCGTCTGAGCTATAAATATACTAGACATTAATTCAAAATTTAAGTGTTTTGTCAAGGTAGTTCGATGACTTGTGGAATTAAATATTGTTTCATTAAAGTTCATCTTGCCTTCAATAAAAATTATTTCGCAAGTTACCATAGTTGTCATTTTTACCAGTTACGAATAAGCCAACGAGTTCCGGATAGCCCAGAGATTCTTATTGAATTCAAAATAAAAAAAAATTACGTCCCAGATGTTATCCATTGGCATGCTTAAGAAAAGTGAAATCAATTGCTTACCAATAAATTATTTGTATTTCCAAAGGTTGAAGAGAAACTAGAGGTACTGTGGGCACTGAGCTCATTTTAATGATACCCCACACCTTCTTTATGATTATTTAAGACAAATATCATGTTTTGCCCTTGGAGACCAAAATTAGTGTCAGATCAAAAAGTAAAATAAAAGGTCATAATATCACAATGTAATCAAGAATCTGTGAAAGTATCATTAAATATAGGAGGAATTGCGGATTAGAGATGAATTTATATCACTAAAATATTGACAGTAGTGAAGGACAAACTTCAAGAGCACTGTACAACTATGTATTCAAGAAGTGATGTAAATCAGATGTGGATACTAGTAATCCAAGGAACTTTTGGACAATTTGAAATCACAAAACTTTACAAAAATCAACAGCATAAAAACTTACGACTTTTCATTTATACACAACAATTCCCCACGACAAATTAAAATCCAGGCTTTTTGATATCATTGACAGCTGCTTCTTCAACAAAAATGGAACTCGTAAGTTTACTTACCTCGTCATTGGTCATTTGAAAAATTATTTTGTTAAAACAGATTCTGATTGCACACATAAGTACCCTGAAGTTGACATCAAAAAGATGCTTGAGTTTCTGATTGACAATATCTATGTGGTTTTTGGAGACCAGGTATTCCAACAATCTATTGGAATACCCATGGGTACAAATTGCGCTCCGTTATTAGCAGACTTATTTTTATATTCATATGAAGCAGAATTTATGCAAAATCTTTTACGTGATAAGAAGAAAACACTTGCTGTTGCCTTCAACTCGACATTTAGATATATCGACGACGTATTGTCAATTAATAATGATAATTTCCATTCCTACGTCGACACGATATATCCTGGTGAGCTTGAGATAAAAGATACCACAGAGTCCGACACTTCTGCTTCATACTTGGATATTTTACTTGAAAAAGACACTAATGGTAATCTAACAACCAAGCTATATGATGAACAGGATGACTTTAACTTTCTATCGTCAATATCCCTTACTTATGCAGCAATATACCTTCATCACCTGCATACGGAGTATTTATATCTCAGTTGATTCGATACGCAAGAGCATGCTCTGCGTATGAACAATTTCTTAAACGAGGTAAATTATTGACAAGCAAGTTGATGAAACAAGAATATCAACAGTATCGTTTAAAGTCATCATTTCGTAAATTCTATGGTCGATACAATGACCTTGTCAGCAAATACAATTTATCATTGAATGAAATGCTGACTGACGTTTTTCATACCAATTGTTAGTCCATTATTTATACACTGAATTGACCACGGATTTTTTCCGTTATTTCCTGATTATGACAACGAGCACACGGCGGGTGTGACCGGTCGACAGGGGATGCTCACTCCTCCCTGGCACCTGATCCCACCTCTGATGTTTCAGAGGTCCGTGTTTGCTGTGCTCCTATTTTGTATTGTTTTATGGACTTTGAGATTGAATACTGTTCGTTATTTCCATATCCATCTTTCAATATTACAAAGAATAGCAGTATCTAAGTTTTTCTCAGGGAGCCCAAGTTATGTGCCTGATCCAAAAATAAAATAGTTTTACTTTGGCACTGTTAAACACAAATTCTTTGAAAGACTCATTAAATTCTGTGAAGCATCATTAAACTTCATTCAGTGGTAGAAGAGGGGTTGCGGATAAGAAATGGATACCCTAGAGCATATCAGACGGACGGACGCACAGCTTGACGCACGGACGGACATAAAGACGAATGGATGGACAAACATCCCATTATTATATACAATGTACCCCTTCTTACTGTTTTTCAAGCAGGGGTATAATTAATCAGGTTTACATTGAAGAAAACAAAGAAGAGTGAATTTATGATTATAGTGTTTAAAATGGGTTTTCGGAACTGGTAAAATAAGAAAACGAAAATATTTAGATATCTTCCAGTGTCCTAAATATTTATTATTGACAAGTTTTTAGTATATGTTAGAGTACATTTCAAACTTACTTTTGATACCTGGAATGCGGTTTTATGTTAAAAATTTATAAATCTACAGAGGTTTTTCAGCAGACTTACGCGTAGTTGTGATTCACGTTTGTTGCGTTGTAAAAGTATGTCGACTGTTTCGAGTACGATAACGAAACCAACCAAACCGAGGGCAAAAAATCAAAACTTTGCATAATTCAAACACTAATAAATAAGCCTTCTTACCATAGAAACAAATTATTTTTACACCGTTGAATTTATTAATTATCAATTCTTACATTACTTATTATTCGGAACTGGCCAAAATCCGGAACCGGTCAAACGACTGTACATCACGAATACGTTTATCTCTGTACATCACAAATACGTTTATCTTCTAAGCATTATAATTCATTATACATGAAGATTAAATTTTTA